ACTTGTATGGCGCAGGACACTTGTCCAGATACACTGCCTGCAGTGCCAGTGTGCGCTTGGTGGCCTGCACCAATGCCAGATGTGCGTCACCCAGAAGTGTTGCGTTCTCCTCATGCTTGGCAAAGAACCAGCCAACATCATGCCGGTCTAGGCTGTCCTTCAGCATACATGCCTGCACCTGCGCAGGACCATTGCTACCAAACAGCAGATCAGCAGAAAGTAGCTGCCTTGCTCGAGCCATCTGATGCTGAAAGATGAGCTCCACATCTGTGAGCTTGAGATGGATGCTCTTGTACGTGACTCCCTGCTTGTCTTCATCCCAGTAGGCTTGCTGCGGTCCAATCTCATGCCGCGCAACCTCAAAGCAGAGTGAGCGCCAGTGAAGCACCTTGCCAAAGACTGTCTCCTTGTCTGGCTGCATGTATGCGCGTGTGTTGGCATTGATGGTCTCCAGGACCTTCTCGTCTTCTGCGTCCCCAGAGATTGCTTCCCAGAATATCATGAGCTGCGCCACCCAAATCAGCCCAGAGAGAAAGCTGCTGAAGATGCCTGCTGACTTCCATGCGCCAGTCTTGACTTCAATGGTGTGCATGGCCACAAAACTGAGGAGTGGAGAGGCAAAGGGGCATGTGCCAGTGTGATGCTGGATGAGCGTCATGCAGAAAGAGTGCACTGCATCTGTGAGAAAAGACGCAATGGGCGTGTTCTTGCTCTCTTCCAAGGCAAGATCCCATGCAAAGCGCTGCTCCTCAGTGGGCTGAACCAGCTCATCTGGCGTGGTGTGGTCTCCACTGCCAGCGCTGAAGTGCGCCTTCTCCTCATGCGCAATGCAGAAGTAGTACGTAACAAGCTGCTTCCAGTGTCTGATGTAGTCTGTGAGCGTGTCTGGCATCTTGACAGGATCCCAAGCACGGTGAACAGTGCCAGCAACTTCCACTGTACGGAAGTGGCTGAGTGCCAGCTTGCGCTGCCAAGTCAGTTTGGAAGACCACTCGCTGATGCACTGTGTGTGCGTGTCACGCAGCACCCACTCCAGGGCAGCCAGGATGCGCTTCTGCTTTGCTTGTGGGAAGCGCAAAGGAAGCCTGGATCTCCTGCTTGTGTAGTCCACGCACATGCTTCTCAATGCCAGTGTTCTGTAGCCATGGCACTGCACCAGAGTGATGCGCACCAAAGCCATGAATGCGCTGGGCATGCTCCTGAGCATCACAATCAGCCTGCTGCTTGTCTGCTTGGAGTGCAACAAAGAAGGCCTCCTCAGCCAGAGGGACATCTTGCGACTGTGACTGAGTTGGACCAGGCGTGGGAGGCAGTGCTACAGCAAAGTAGCGCACTGCCTGATTGTCGGAATAAAAGGTCTGCACTGTGCACCGTCTCCAAAGCAGTGCATCAGCTGATCTGGCTGACTCTGATGTGTGCACATGAGCTAAGTGCTGCTTGACCTTGTTGAGTGTCCTAAAGGCATCTGTGCATCCAAAAGTGCACTGGTAGCCCTCGTGGACAG